TGTTTTGGTTTGGTACCCTAATATGCAAGCAAGACTTTTCCAAAGCAACCCTATGATGTAAGCCTCAAATCAAAATTGTGGCTGAACCATTGTTCTTAGAATGTCATTTGGAGTCAAAATGACCTATTACATGACATGGTTTGGACTTATAACTTGGGATTTCCATTTTTCAAATTCACTTGAATTAACTTATGCCTCATTTTTAGGCCATTTTTATCACTTTTTAATATGAGCCTTTTCAACATCTCATGACCTCCCTAATAGCCTTAAAACATCATTCTAAGCAAGTTTGATGTTGAAGATTTTTCCATTTGAAGCTTGGAAGTAGGAGATATGGCCTTATGCTTGAAATGACTTATAACCTCCAAATGACCAAAATGCCCTTGGCTTGCCAAGATCATAATTAGAGCTCCACAAATCATATTGAGGCATACCATACCTTTCTATAAAGCTAAGATCATGGGAAACAACTTTCATGTTGGCCAAAAATCCAATTGAAAACCCCTAAAGGGGCAAAAGTTGCTTAGAAGTCAAGTGACTTTCACAGACAAATTTCATATGCCTCTGATGACCTGTAACTTGCAAGAACCATAACTTGAGTTCTACAAATCTCCTTGATTCCTTCCACAACTCAAATTAAAGGTCTTGAGATACTCTACAAGTTTCATGTTGGCCAAGAATCCATTTGAGACTTGCATTTTGAATTACTTTGCTTGGAAGTTTGACCTAAACCAGGGGCTTTTACTCAGAAACCCTAATTCAGAAACTTCTCTTCTTCTTGATTTATTTTGATTTATCCTTGGCACAACACCATATCCATATCCACATATCAAATGATGAATCCCACATCCTCCAAATAGGCCTTGATGCCCTTCAATCAAGCATTTGACTTAGGGTTGACCCAGATGAAACCCTAGTTGACTGTCTTCACTTGTAACTCTTGTAATCACATCAATGACTTGTCTCACTCTCAAAATGACCCTCTAGGTCTTCCATGATGCCTATATACATTCCATGCCCTCAGTTCATGGCCCACAACCTCTTTGATAGTCTTCAAACCCCCTCAGGATAGGAGAGAAACCCACTGATTGGTCCACTAACTTCTCTTTCTTTCTTGGTAACCTGGATAGTCATGAACTTGAATAAGAACCTCTTGACATGCTTTTTGAAATAAGAATGGCATTTTATCCCTTGTTGGATGGCTTGCCCATGCTATGCTATGCAGATGAATGAATTATGTACATGATCTAATATGCAAATGCTAAAGCTATGAAACATAGAATCAGGTGAAATAAGTTGGTCAAATTTTAGGGTGCAACACCAATCACTCACGTATTCAAGTGTTATTTTGCCAAAACTTGCCAATGGGGGATTGTTGTTTCATTTTGAATTTGCTACATTATGCAAAATAACATGGTATGAACACATGTTGGACATAATGTTGTAACTGGTATGGCACATATGTCCCAAATTGCTTTTATGAAGAAAAGACACATTTGGTAACAAATATCCTAGCATGTGGCCCTTGTTTGCAGGACAAGGCTGTTGCTGTAAGCGTGCGTTTTCCAATTGTCTATAGCGCATTTTTCTATTACTTGTGCATCAAGGGTTGTTGTTATCTTTTAGAAATATGATTTGTTTGATTAATTAATTAAATTAAATTTAAATCAAGGATATTTAAATTTCAATTCAAATCAAATCGAATCTTTTTGTGGAGTTGTATTGGAGAAATAAATCCTAACTGAATCTTCATCATATTTGGACGAGATCACTTCCTAAATCCAAGGAGAAAAGGCTGTCTATGAATTGTTATATATAAAGACTCTTGCATGCCTTGAAGACTACGAGTTTGAGTGATATTTTGTGTTTTTAGGCTAAGTCTTTATTTGTATTAATTGTACACTGCACTATTGCATAATTCATATCACATAGCATAATAGTTGGTTTGTTTAGTTGAGTTGTATATTCAACATTGAATCATTCTGATTATTGTTGATGATCACTAGGATTAGTGATTCAGAGAAAGTGAAAGGGGGTTCTTATATTTAGGAGTTGTCCTAAATATAAATAAACTGAAGGTAGAATTAAGAAGAGGGGTATTGAGCAAGGGACTTGTTCATATAAGACACTTTGTACTAATTCTATCAAAGGGAGGATTTCTTTTCTTGGATAGAGTGTCTCAGATGTAGGTGTTGTTTGCACTGAATTGGGTTAATAATTGTTGATGTTCTTCATTGCTTTTACCTTGATTTATTATTGTTGTCATGGTATGTTTATTCTGGTATAACAAGTTGGACAGCTTGTCCCAAATATCTGGTTCAACATCTGTCCCTTAAGGAACAAAATTACACTTTTCTCTTGTCTTCTTTGGTCCAGTTAAAATCAAATTTATTTACTACTTTTTTCATCAAAGTAAAAATAGAAATACACCATATTTTATTGTGTCAGAAGAATTCACCATAACACTGAAAGATCTTGTTGCATATTACTCCTTTCAATCATGTTTATTTGCCATTTTATGATTTGTTAAACATGCTCTTAATTATTTATTATTTCATTCCTTTCATTAAAGACACGCCTGTTTACAGTTTTTTTTAAAATGTTTTTTATAATATTATATATTTTTGTGGGAAAAAAATTAAAAGAAATTTTTCATAAAAGTTTCAATAAAAATTTAGTTTAAATTATTATACTTAAAATGTTACTTTAAGAATTTCATCAATTTTATTTATTTTTTTAGATATCAAAGTTTTAAAAAAATACTTAATTTTGAAGTTATTTCAAATAGTTTTTTATATAAATTATTTTTCCGATACAACATTTTGAAAGAAATTGTGATTTCGACTATGTTTTAATCTTCCATAATATATGTTTGTGTTATAAGATGTCAAAATTAGTCTTTCAATTTAAAAAAACAATTTTTTTTAAAAAAACTTATAATATTTTAAAAAAACATTTATATAAAATTATTTTTAAAAATATTTTTTTTTAAAGTTAAAACAAACGGGCCGTAAATTTTCTCTTTGTAGTAAATAATAAAGAATAATATTGAAAAATAATGCTACTTTTATTTATTATTATATGTTATTTTAAGAAAAAAAATTCTAAATTGGAACTATTTTTTTTACCAACAAATCATTAAATTTAGTTCTTTTATTAAATTTTAAATATATTACTTTTTATAATTTATCTTTTCTATACCATTAATAAATAATAATTTTACAAAAACAATTATGATTTTTTTATTATATAAAATTGATTGTAATTGTTAGGTTTAATTATAAATTTAGTCTCTTTATTCAATCTCATTCACATAATTAATTTCTTTATTTTAAATTTAAATAATTTTGATTTTTCTTTATCATTTTTGTATTTAAAATTGACAATGTATATATTTTTAAATGATATACCACTTGTGTAACATAATAAATTATCATATACAAATATTTTGTTATACTTAAAACATAAAAAATATATAAGTTAGATGTCATTAGAAAATAAACACATTATCAATTTTCAGTAGAAAAGTACGAGACTGAAGCCAAAGACATTTAAAAAAAAAAAAACTTTAAAGGTAAGAGATATATGTTATAGATTATTAAAAACTGACATGTCATCAAACAACTTTTAGTGTAAAAATGTAAAGAGATGTTAAAACCATCAAACAACTTTTAGTGTAAAAATGTAAAGAGATGTTAAAACCATTTCAATTTAAAATAGGTGGACCAATTGGATGAATAAGATAAAATACAAGGAGAAAATGTAATTTAACATAAACTTTAATATATGTGAAATAGAGAAAACTATATATTATGTATTTTATTACATTTATATAAAGTCTAATACATAATTAATACTCTTAATTATTCGAGGCTTAATGTTGTGAATTTCCTTACGCCTATGGCAACAAAACACATATTCTTGGATACTCACATTCTAAATTTGATGGTGTAAATATGAAAATGGATAGAATAATAGAGATACACATATTTGTGGATTCTTCGTGGATACACATATTGTTGGATTTTTTTCAATTATAAAATATGAAAATAAATAGAATAATAGAGATACAAGTAACTCACTTTGCTCTCGAATCCATTCTGTTTATTTTTTTATATACTTTATTATTTTGTTTTGATAATTTAAAATATTAAATATAATTTAATATTTTTATACTTTGATTTATATTTTATTTTTTAAAATATTTGAAATGCATGTATTAAATTTTTTAATATTTTTTTATGTTATTATTTGTAATATAATTTAATTTTAAAAAAAAGTTAAAAATTGATTTTATGAATTGTGATGGGGGCAGAAATACCCGTACCTAATCTGAATTTGTTTGGTACGAGTTTGAATTTTATTTCTCCATCTCCTATAAAAAAACGGAATGGAAAATAAAAATTATTTAAAAATTCAAATTTAGATTTAAAGAGATAAAAAGTGTTTTCGACCCACCTCATTGTTATATCCATACATAAAACAACTCTAATTTCGTAAAAAGGGAGAGAAAAAAATGTAAAAAAAGAATGATAATTATAATTTATAGTTGTGTAGAAAATATGGTATAGAGATTAAAAAATAATTTAGAGGTCAAATTGGGTCTCATATTCACTCAATATTTTAACATTACTAATTAATAATTAAACCTATATTTTGAGAGATAGATCAGGCAATGTCCAACTTTAATTTTTTATGAGTTGTTTTAACTCTCCACATTCATTTTATTTTTCACTTTTTATTCAATAAATTATCCATATTAAAAAAGTATATCTATATTTAATTGGATCCGTTTTTTTTTCTTTTTTTTTTACTAAATTTCTTTATTAGTTTTTGTTTCTACGACCAAATATTATTCTTTTGTATATTTTTATAAAGAGCAATTATATTTTAAAAAGGTAAACAAATAAAAAAAAATCAAAATTAAAAATACATTGCATTGATTTTACTTTCATTCCTTACTTAAACAACTTCATTCACCAACTCACTACACTTCTCTAATGGCGGAGTCTCAAAACAGGTCGTCCCGGAAACCTCCATTGGCTTTCAACACTGCTTCATCGCCGGTCTACCATTACCTATCCCCGGAGAATGCTATTCGTTACGCCAACAATGATCGCCAGAAAAATAACTGCTGCAGGTGCTTTTGTTGTCTCTGGTGTTTCATCGGTATTATACTCACTCTGGCCGTGCTCCTTTTCATAGCCGCTGTTGCTTTTTGCTTGATTATCAAGCCAGAATCGCCTTATTTCGCAATCGACAGTATCGCTGTGAGGGGAATGAACCTCACGTCAACGTCTGTTATTTCGCCGGCGATTGACGTGTTCGTTAGGGCTGATAACGGTAACAACAAGATTGGAATTTACTACGAGAAGGAAAGTACCGCGGAAATATTTTACAGAGATGTTAGTCTCTGTAACGGCGTGTTACCGGCGTTTTATCAGCCGACAAATAACGTGACGGTGTTTCAGACTGTGTTGAAGGGTAGCGGCATTAAACTTGCGGAAACGGATCGGGAGGCGTTGGTGAATGATGTTGCGAAATGGAGCGTGCCGTTAACGTTGACGACGAGGGCACCGGTGAAAATCAAAGTGGGGCCTGTTAAGACATGGAAGATCGGGGATTTTGTGTTTGAGTGTGATGTGACGGTTGATCAGTTAACGGCGCAGGCGAAGATTGTGGACAGTGATTGTAGTTATGGATTGGATCATTGATGATGAAAATCTTTCTTTGGATTTTGGAGCATAAATTATTAAGAGCTTACAAAGGTTGTTCTTTTTAATCAACTAAATGAATTATTTAATTGTAAAATAAATTATAATTTTATAACATTTCAGGAAAAAAATATTTTGATTGAGGGAAAAAAAAGTTATAATATTTTATAACAAGAGTTTTGTCTTTTAAATAAAGATATTTTTTATTAAAATTAAATCAGTGTTGTGTTTATAGTAATTTATAGTAATTTGTGAGATGAAACATTTTATTATGGTTTTTATGTACTGATTCTTTGTTTATGCTATCCATCAATCATTTAAGATTTTATAAATAAAGCAATATTATATTTTACAATGATTTTTGTGACAATTGGTTCACAAAATTAACTAACAAATAAAAAAATTTATTGGTTAGAAAACATACTTGGTTTATGATATTAATATTATATATGTCTCTTTATTTTAAGATTGACAATGAACCGAACCAACTTAAAAATAATTTAAAACTCGATTTAACAATAAAATCGTTGAACTACCTTCATGAATCAAATGAGCTGAATATGAGCGAAAAATTAAGTTCGTTAACTAAATAAACTGAACTTGAATTATACATAATTCGACTTGTTAGGTTCATGAGTCAACTCGATTATATATGGAAAGAATTATATTGTCTTTAAGAGTATGTTTAAAGATTTACTCTAAATTTTAACCCTAAATTTGTCCCTTCCGTACTAACTATGGCAGTAAAACTGACAATTGCATTTAGAGTCATCCTTGTTAGAGTGTGTTTACTGTGAATTTTGGTAAACAACCGTTGGTCTATCAATTTAGGGTAAATTGACTAACTTGCATGATCGACCATACTAAATCCTAGAACATGTGCTAAGCGTGTGTCAGGTGTCCCTAAGCTGAACCCCACGTTCGACTATGAAATCTAATAAAGGGTTTGATAATAAAGACAAGAATATAAAGGGCGAAAGATTATAATCAAACTCCACGTTCGACTACAAACTCTTTGTAAAGTAAAAGGTGCTCGAAGATAAATGTGCAAGAAAGTAAACTGCTTTTAACATAACTTCAATCTGAACTCCACGTTCGACTAGGGGATCTTTAAGTAAAAGGCTGAAAAGTAAATGACTTTGAAATTAAACGTGCGACAGACTCAAACGGGAACTCCACATTCGACTTTGAAGTCTTTGAAAGTTAAATAGCGAGAATGTAAAGGACTTTTAAAAATAATTGGACAAAGGATTTAAAGGTGCAGGAAGAGTAAATGACCTTGAAAAGTAAAGCTGAAAGTAAATGGCTTTAAATTAACAACTGGAATGTAAAGGCGAAAAAAGACGACTGCCAAACTCCGCATTCGACGTACTTCTTTTTGAAAAACTAAATGACTTTTGAGGATAAAGATGCGAGTAAGTAAATTGCTTGGAAAATAACTCTAATCAGAACTCCACGTTCGACTAGGGGGTCTTTGCAAAGTAAATGGGCAGAAAAGTGTAAAGGGCAGTTTTGAAGATAAAGACTGAAAGTTAAAAATGGCAAGTGAATTGTAAAGACAAATTGCATTGATAAGAAAGGGTTTGGTGTTGTATCACGTACATTCTCGTTAACCCGTTTCTCTACACGCGGATAATTTGAGTTGTATGAACTAGTACAATAATGAATGAACACCCTTATTACATAAAATTTACACCTATTTATAGTGTTATAAAGTAACTGCTATATGGCGGTTGAAACTCTCTAGCCCACTCTTTTGGCGCTTTTTTATTCTTCTAACCGTCCACTCGTTCTTTTCTACTTGATTTGAATTTTAAATATTCTGCAATTCCCTCCAATTTGGCGAAACCGTCTCCTTGCTCTCCTTAGCATAGTCTTCGTCGAGCATTTTCCAACACTTAGCGTTTTTTGGCCTCTTGTTCATCTTTCTTCGACTTTGGCATTTTCCTTAATTGGGTCGAAACCTTCCCATACACCAAGTATTGATATTTTTACCTAGGATAGCTCTGGTCTCGACTGGCGTCGAAAACTAGGAGCCAACAAAGGGATCACGACATTTGTTAAAATAACATGTGTAATGAAGAGTTCAAGTGATGTAATCATTCTATGATAGAAATGTATCAATTTCTAATCATTTTTAGTGTAATATTTAATTAAATTTGTAAGGTTCATAAATATTTAAATAAAGTTGTAGATTTTTTATACAAATTTAAACTTTAATTGAGTATTTTTTTAATTAGACTTTCAAATGTATCTCTTGAAAGTTGTGTAGTTATTGAATTAGTAGATTTTGAGACAAAGTTAAATTTCAATCGAGATAACTGTTATTTTATTTCAATATTTTCTTTTAAAAAAAATATTAATTTAAAATGTCAAATATATAAAAAATAAATAAACTTGATAAAATGACTTTAAGTTCGTGAGCCAAGTGAGTTGAACCTAACGAGTTAAACCGAATTGTTCGTGAACTTATAACGAGTCGAGTTTGAGTTTAAAAAAAAATTATGTCGAACTTGAACCGAGATTTGAGTTGAGCCAATTCTTAACGAGTCGAGCTGAGTTAAGACGAGATAGACTCGATTCGACTCATTTTCAGCCCTACTTTATCTAAAAATTAAATATTGTGTGATATTTTTAATATTATATCACATTCTTAATTATTAATTTGTGATGTTTTCGCAAGATATTTTTTCACCATAATTATCATTAATTAGCATGTTAAATAACATGTTCCTTAAAAATTCAAGTAAATAAAACAATTGTACTTTTTTTTATATGCAAAATGAAAAAGAAGGAGTATAATTAACACAATTACAAAGAAATAAACTCAAGAAAAAGCAAAGAAATAACCAACTAAGATACAAACCATAATCACGATTTGAATCTCACTCTGCCCGTACTTAAACTTAGTTTGGAATCAATCCCAAGATACCCATTAAGAAACATAACAAGATCTATATTAGCTAAGATCTCACCTTTAAACAAGATAGAATCCATGCACATCAGCAAAATCCAGCAAACAACACACTAAAAGAAAGAGATCGAATTCTTCGAAATAATGAGAGCAAATAATGAGAGGAAATAGAACTCACTTCGAAATTAGCATGAAACCCCATCCATTCAAACATTTTTTTTTCAAACTTTCAAACTGATTTTGCATAATAAAATAAGATGAAAATCGTTTTCAGCGTCATTGAAGCAAAGAGGACAACCAAATTTGACACGCCTTGAATAATGCCCTTTTTTGCCAATTGAAAATTTTGTCGAAATCCGATAAGACAGCAACTTCCAACAAAAGGCTTGAACATTGCATGGCAACTTCGAATTCCAAATCTTGCACAAACTCCTCAAGCTCAGGTCCTCAACAAAATCAACATCAGGAATAAGTTCGAAGAGGACCTTGTAGTTGTTCTTGACTGAGAATCTGCTACTGTCACACCACCAAATGAAATGGTCCTCACTACCTTAAATCGATTTAATCAAAAATACAATTGACATCAGATACAAATATTGTGCTTGTTGTTCCGAGTTTAAGTCAGAAAGCTGAAACGCCAAGTCCCACGTCCAATTCGATCCCTGTCACTCATGTGCTTTAGCTATTGTCAGATTCAAGTTTGCTGCTATCGCAAAAAGAGAAGGAAATTGCATACCCAACAAGATAGGGCATATCCGTTGGAAGTAACCGGAGTTTTATGTCCATAAATCTTCAGTTTCAAATCTCCGTACTTGAAAATTAAAAAATTAATCCAAATCGGATTGTCCTCATTGAGGGTGCACCGACGGCGCTTGATCAATAACGCCAGGTTGAATCTACCACTATGATTAAGCCTTAATCTACCTTCCTTCTTCGAATTGAAAATTATTGACCAGCTGATCCTATTAACTTTGTGTTTGTTCTCGAAGCCTCCCCACAAAAAAATCACCCTGAATCTTAGTAATATTCTCCATCAACACTTATGAGGCCTTGTAAAACGAGAAAAAAATACACCGACATATTAGTCAAAACAGCAAAGATCAAAATGATTCTTCCAAGTGAAGACCACGCCAATACGAAAAGGTTTTATGTAATGTAGACAAAATTGAGAACCATACTTCTTTTCTTCTCCGGTTAACACCAACTTGGATCCTAAGAAAAGAGAAGGGAACTGAACCAACATTGCAAGTCAAAAACGAAGGCGCTGCTTGGATGAAGTCTTCTTCAAAATTTATTCCAATAAGCTTACTCTTTGAAAGGTTGATGCATAAGCTCGAAACCAATTCTAAACCCCTTAAAATTCCTTTTAAACTCCATAGATTGTTCCAACTAGGCTCACACAGAATTATGATATCATCTGCAAATTTGAGTAGGTCAAAATGGATGGAATTCTTCACTTGAAAACCCGAAAGTTCCCTTAAGTTAGAAGAGTTTTTCACCATCCTGACAAGGCTTTTTACTGCCAACAAAAAAATGAAAAGGGATAAGGGATCCCTTTTAGTCAGACCCTTGAAGACCTTGAAATCACATGTTGGACTCCCATTACTAAAGTTGACATTGAACTTGAAAACACCATGCATCAATTCAATTGAGCCAAATGGTGTGGAAACCCATCCTCTCTAGGGGTGTTCATGGATGGTTAATGTCCATAACCAATCTATAACCATAAATAATCCATATGTTATAACCAGTTATTAAAACCATTTCTCATAACTGGTTTTTATCTTTTAAAATAGTTATAAACCGGTTATATCCATAACCAATTTTATAATGAGTTTTGAATTAATTTTATTTTAAAATTGATTTTTTCAAAATCATAATATTTTTTTAAAAAAAATATTAATGTTAAAAAAAATAATAGTTATTTTAAAATTTTAAAAATAAATAATATTTTAAATTTTTTTGGAAAAAATTTTTATTTATTGAAAAAAATTAAAACAATATTTTTTTTTCAAAATAAAAATAATTAAAAAAATTGACTAATTTGGTTTTTATTTTGGATATGGATGTCCAAATTATGAATTTGGTTAAAACCATATTAAAAATATATCCAAAATATAGATTTGGTTAAAATCATACAAATAATTAACCGGTTTTTAATAACTGGATTTGGATATGGATATAGTTTTGATGATAACTCTAATGAAATTTTGTATTAAGAAAATATATACTCTAATTTTGTTCAAGTGTTTTTGTTTCAGATATTAAATTAAATACTCTTATGGAAGCAAAAATGCATCTGAACAGTATTCTACGCAAAGCTCTGAAGCATCAGAAGACTTTGAGCGCTGCCAGAAGAGACTCTGAAGCAGAAGTTGCAGAAGACTCTGAAGCATAGTTGAAGAATTTGTATGAAGAGTTTCAAGAATTGTTTCAAGAAGACTCTGAAGGTACTTTACGCTGCAAGTACAGAGGCTTTATTATTCAAACTCTGCTCTGATCAATATTCACGCTGACGCATTTTGGCTGCAAAACTCTGATAACATCAAGACTCTGATGTTGATAACTTTGAGACAGAAGCTTGTTGAAGAAAATATTATTCAAAGATATATCCGTTGGCATATTCCAAATGGCTCTTTCCTTATTCATGTATGGCACAGGAAATCAGACAAAAGGGATTTGTCTGAACATTCCTCTTTTGGGAAAACTAGAGTCAATAGAAGACAAAAGGCTACAGCTACACAGCAACGCACAGTCTTCAAGCATTGGACTTTCTAGCCTATAAAAGGACGTCTTCAACAACATTTCAAAGTTGACGGATTATTGAGAAATCAAATTGAAAACTACTCTCAAGCTCTCATACAAATTTATTTCATAAGTTGAATAGTTTTATTCGTTCTTAAACTAAGTGTAAAAATCACAGTTTGTGATATAGCTTTTTATAAGCAACTTAAACACTTGTTAGTTTACATTAATTTGTAAAAGGTTCCTTAAGAAGACCAAGTTGTGGTCAGAATTTCTTGAGAAGACTAAGACAGTTGTTCTTAGTGGTTGACACTGTAATTTGTTTGACTATAGTGGATTAAGTCCTTGTTGAGAAAGGAAAATCACCTTGCTAGGGTGGACTGGATTAGTTGAGTTCAACGAACCAGGATAAAAATCTTGTGTTGTTTTTATTGCCATATTTTTTTTCAAAACCCTTATTCAACCCCCCTTCTAAGTGTTTTTCTCACCTTTAGTTGGCATCAGAGCTCCGGTTCTGTTAGTGCTCTCACTTCACCGTGAACAGAAAAGATCCAGTTGAGAAAAACTCCAAATATCTTGTTCTTTATTCATCATGGTTGTTGAAGCTTCCACTTCAACTTTATACAACAACAGATACTATGATAAAGATAGAATTGGCACCAAACCTCCCATGTTTGATGGTGAGAAATTTGACTACTGGAAAGACAGAATAGAAAGCTTCTTTCTAGGTTATGATGCTGATTTGTGGGATTTAGTAACTGCTGGTTACACTCATCCTACCAATGATGAAGGGAAAAAGATTGACAGAAAATCTATGTATGATCAACAGAAGAAGGAGTTTAGAAACCATCACAAAGCAAGAACCATCTTATTAAATGCAATATCTCATACAGAGTATGAGATAATAACAAACAGAGATACTACATTTGATATGTTTGAATCTTTGAAATGACTCATGAAAGGAACTCCCAAGTAAAGGAGACCAATGCTCTGGCGCTCATCCAGAAGTATGAAGCCTTCAAAATGGAGGAGTCTGAATATGTAGAAACTATGTTCTCTAGATTTCAGATTCTCACAGCTGGCTTGAAAGTTTTGGACAAGGGTTATTCCACTGCTGATCATGCCAAGAAGATCATCAGAAGTTTGTCAACCAGATGGAGACCAATGGTCACTGCTCTGAAGCTTGCAAAGGATCTGAACAAGATCACGCTGGAAGAACTGATCAGATCTTTGAGGAGTCATGAGATTGAACTAGAGGAAGACGAGCCTCAGAAGAAGGGTAAGTCAGTTGTTTTAAAGTCTAACAAATCTGTTAAAGCGTTGCAGGTTATAGAAGAAAGTTCTGAAGAATCTTCTTCTTCTGAAGAAGATGAATTGTCCCTGTTGTCCAGAAGGATCAACAAAATCTGGAAGCATAAACAGAAGAAGTTCAGGAACTTCAAGAAATCAGATCAACGTAAAGAGTCCTCTGGACACAGAAGATATGGAAAGAAAGAGGTTGTCTGCTATGAATGCAAGGAACTTGGGTACTATAAGAATGAATGCCCAAAACTTCAGAAGGAGAAGCCAAGAAGGAAGTCTGATCATAAAAAGAAAGTTCTAATGGCAACCTTGGATGATTCAGGTGCATCTGAATCTTCATCAGAGTCAGAAGAAGAATGTGCAAACATGGCACTTATGGATGACGTAGAAGACCGTGATCAGAATCAGAATCAGATTCTGAGGAGGTATTTTCTGAACTCACTAGAGAAGAACTTTCTAAAAGTTTATCAGAAATTCTGGAAAGCTACTGCCAAATCAAACTCAAATACAAGAAGCTTCAAAGCTATCTTGCATCTGAGAATGATCAACTGAGGTCTGAGGTTGCTGAGCTTAGAGCAGAAAATCTTAAAATAAAAAATGATTTAGAAAATGCTCAGAAATCTGACTATGAACCTATATCCTGCTCTAAAATTATTTTAGAAGAGTATGACTATAGCTTTCAGAAGTTTCTGGCTAGAGGCCTAGAGAGAAGCAAGATGGCTTCAATGATCTATGGCATTAGCAGAAACAACAGGAAGGGTGTTGGATATGAATCTTCTTCTGGGAAGAATTTAAATCCAAAACCTGTTGATAAAATGATCATAAAGTATTCTCCTCTATATACTCATTTCAAATTTGGTCATTTAAATGATATTAAACACACAAGTTCTGATATGAACAAACTTGTGTTTAAATCAAAACCTCAGAAGAACAAGGATGCTTATAAGGCAAAGAAATTCAGAAAGAATTTCAAACCTACTAACCCCAGAGGACCCAAAAAAATATGGGTACCTAAAGACAAAATTATTTTTGTTGCAGACATCCTTAGCAGCAAAGTTGAAACACCAGTCCTGGTACTTGGACTCTGGCTGCTCGCTGTCGCACCTCGAAAATTCATTTCGAACATACGACCCTCGCGCGAAAGGCGCGGAAATGCGGTTCGACAGAGTCGCCACCGAACTTTATTTTGCCCGAATGAACGGGAGAGGAAAATATCGAGAAAACCTCAAAAACACGGAAGGAACACGGCCGTCGCAACCTAATGTTCCTGGGTTCGAGAGTCGGTTACGCGAGGGGAAGGTATTAGCACCCCTCACGTCCGTTGTACTCAACGGGAACCTCTTAATTCGAGTTGTGATGGATGTTAGCTAAACTTATTTCTTCTCTTCTCACTACTAAATACTATAACGATATTGTAAAGGCTAAAGAGGCTAAGGGGATGGGGGATGGTTAGAGGATATGGTGCTTGCCAAGGATTAGGGCCTTTGTGCCTACGTATGCTCATTCGAACGAGAATGAGAAATCAGAGCGTCGTAGTTCGACTACGGGAAATGATGGGGGAAATGGAAGATGAAGGGGATTGTGCTCGCCAAGATCATCGCAATCTTGTGCCTACGTATCTTACATTCAAGAGTGAATGAAGAATCAGAGCAGTCGTAGTTCGTGGTAACGACCACGAAAGAAACTGGATTTGAATTGAGTTTGAAGGGGTACGAATGACGATTATTCGAAGTTTAAGAAAGACTTCTCGGACCCAAGTAATCGAGAGAGCGAACCAAAGACTTGGAACACTCTCTTTTTCATCATGAAGGAATGATATGTTTGAAAGGATAAGGTTGAAATGATGACGATCACTTGAAGCCTAAGAAAGACTTCACAGACCCCAAGTAATCGGGAAAGCGAACCAAAGACTTGGAACACTCTCTTTTTCATCGTAAAAGAAGGTTGTTTGAATTTGAAATGGTGTATAAAAGGATGAGATTGGTCGGATGATGACTACTTGAAGCTTGAGAAAGGCTTATCGGATCCAAGTAGTCGGGAGAGCGAACCAAAGACTTGGGACACTCTCTTTTTCATCATAAAAGAAGTTGTTTGAAAGGTGAGTGAAAGGATGAGTAATTGGAGATGGTTGAGTATTGTCGAGTTTGTTAATATTATTTAAAGGCGTCAATTGCTCACACACGAATAAGATAACTCGCATATAAACAACGGAAAGCAAGATCAAAGACTTGAACCTACTCTTTACACCTTGAAAAGAATTGAATAGTTGTTAGTTGATTGATAGTTTGTTTCGAAAATCCTCTTGACATTGGATCAAAGGTTTAACTCATTATCGCGTGCAAAACGTGTTGGAAATGAAATGGTTTGAAAAAAAGAGACCGACTTGACTTACGCATCAAGGGTTGAGTTGTAATAGGTTGATGGCGAATGCGTATGAGCACTCGACTTACAAGGG